TTTTCTTATGTCTCGGTCTGTGAAGTCCTTTATCCTCTCCACTACAGGTGTGTAGTTTCCTCCAGTGGTGGAAGAAGTAAAAGTAGCAAGTAAACATCCTGCGTTCACTCTACATGAGTTAAAGTACAAAAGTATTACCAGAATATGTACTTACAATATCAAGTACTGATTGGCCATTAAAGAGTTCCTGAGGCCCAAGACGACATGTTGTGGATGCAGGTTATTGTCTTATAAAACAAGATTTAACAGAGAAGCTTTTCAGGATTTGGGCAGCTCTCCTGACCACAGTGCTCACCTGAGCAGGTCTAATCAGAAAACACCTGTGTTTGTGAGCAGAGCCTTTCATCTGGAATAATACTTTATCAGCATATGTTTTGTATGTAAAGTCACAGACACTACCGCTAAAGCTGCCCTGTAAATGTAATGGAGTAGATTGAAAATAGTCAAGTACCTAAAAAGGTGCTTAGCTTCTCTACTTGAGTAAAAGTTTCTTTCCACCACTGGTATAAATTATGGACAAGTCCTCCTCTTCCTCTCTGACATCCCTCACCTCTGTGTTCTTCTTCAACCTGTCTCTGCCTCCCACGCCTCCACCTTCAGGACCACTTCCTGTTTGACAAGCCTGTCTCTCCATTGTTGACATGTGCCTTTATGGCCAGGGACTGGCCAGACGCCAGGGGCATCTGGTAGGGTCTGTTCAGCTCTACTGCATGTCTGCAGTGTGACCTTTTAGACCTTGACATGCTCGTTCATGTCAACGATAACAGTGAAATATTTCATCTTTGATATTTTCTGTATCCTGGGAAGCCCAGTAGAGGCTGTTTATGATGCAGGTCGGTGGCTAAACCCACAGGAAATATTGGTGTGTGTGTGTTTTCCATTTGGTGTGAATTGTCTGTTACAAATGCACAAATTGATTCTGCACAGACAAGCAGCATGAAATATGAAAGTGTCTATGACGGGTCCTTCATGGCCATTAGAGGTGGAAAGTAACTAAGTACATTTACTCAAATACTGTACAATTGTGAGGTTATTTGTACTTGAGTATTTCCATTTTCTGCTCCTTCATACTGTGACCTCACTACGTCAGAGACAAACCGTGTACTTTTTACTACACTACATGTACCTGATAACTTCAGGTCCACAATCAGATGAATCAAACCAAACCCAGTAGAACCATCAGACTCTATTGATCCCAGTAGGAAATCCACCAGCTACCCAGTAGGATGGAAAGTACTTCACAGTATAAGTATATAAGGTAGTTACCATCAGCTCCACCTTTACCAGCTGCAGCGTTAAAGTGATGGACACAGTAATTAGTCACTATGATCCAGTATCAGAGACGTTACTGGGACACGGGCCGTTCTGCAGGATGAGAATGTTACTTTTTGTACTCAAGTATATTTGTGTTTTAGTAATGTTTTGAATGCAGGACTTTGAGTATTTTTACACTGTGGTATTTCTACTGTCACATATACAATCGGAGTAGTTCTTCCACCACTGATGACCATGAGTCTAATGAAAGCTGTGCTTCACCTGCAGAGCTCTTTGTTCAGTTCCTTTAGCTGGTTCTGTGCAGGCACAACAATGAGAAGACCTTCCTGATCTGGGTGAATGAGGAGGACCACACCAGGGTCATCTCCATGGAGAAGGGGGGCAACATGAAGAGGGTGTTTGAGAGGTTCTGCCGAGGACTCAAACAGGTGCAGCGGAGCCTGTGAAGTTAACACAAGCATGATGCAGAGGCAGATCATTTTGATGACATATGGAGCAAACAGTAATGCAATCAGGATGTCGTCTGGTTGAACCACGCCATGAAACCTTGTCTAGACATTTGTCTTTCACTCAGGATGAATTGTAATCATTTTAGCAACCCCTCCATGTTTTTTCTTGCAACATCATCAGGATCAGGCCAAATATTTATTTTGTGTACTATACTTTATTTTATGACCAAATACCTACAAAACCTGCAGCATTCTCATCAGCTTCAATTGTAGTTTTAATGCTAATTAATGAGTGTTAGCATGCTAAGATGCTAAACTGTTCCAGAAACCATCAAACTGACTTGGATGATAAACATTATACCTGCTAAACATCAGCATTAGCATCTCATCTCGCTCACACTGGCATTTAGATCAAAATGTACTTAGAGAGTAACAGTGGTAGAGAAGAAGGTTGCCAGCTAGCAAACACAAATGTAAAGAATGCTAATTTAAAATATTTTAATGGCAAATTGTATTTTGTGAGGAACTGAATGTAGATATAACTTTTGTATGGTTGTGTGTCTCTAAATGTCAGATACTGTCTAGTATTTAGACAACCTTGAAAACTAAATTACTAAGCTTTCTTTGGCTACTTCCTTTTGGCAGCAATCTTTGAAAAATTATTAACATTTCCATTTGTGTCACTTTATATCAGTGCATCTAGTTAAAGGAACATTTACTGAAATTCTTAATTTTCCCTGGAAAACTTAGAATTCACAGAGGCACAGTTTTGACCGGACAGTGATGATGCATAGTGTGTGTGACAGCACAACTCTCGCCTTCTGTCATGTCATCCCACAGGTGGAGCATCTGATCCAGGAGAGAGGCTGGGAATTCATGTGGAACGACCATCTGGGCTACATCCTCACGTGTCCCTCCAACCTGGGCACCGGCCTCAGGGCAGGTGTGCACGTGCGCCTGCCAAAACTCAGCAAGGTAACACACATTGTCCCACTCACACCAGCCACTTTGTAGTTTTACATCCTCAGTGGGAACCAGTTAGTTTGGGACAGACACTGACATCAGAAGGTAGATGGACTTGCACATTGTTAGTTTGGGTCTTGATCTGTTGATAATAATGAAACATAGAACATCAACAGCATTTTTATTGAACTCCGTCTGCTGAAGAAGATCATGTGATACAACTGAAAGCTCCAGAACAACTGGAGCCATGTGATGAGACTGGTTTGCAACTACTGTTTACTCATAACCATATTGGAAAGTAACCGGTATATATTGAAATTCAAATCAATATTAATGTGTGTTTTTGCCCTCAGTGTTGGTGTTTCATTGTAGTGTTATAAAAGAGTGACAACACTTTGCAGGACCCACGGTTCTCCAAAATCCTGGAGAACCTGCGGCTCCAGAAACGAGGCACAGGAGGCGTGGACACAGCTGCCACTGGAGACATCTTTGACATTTCCAACAATGACCGTCTGGGCAAATCTGAGGTGAAGCTCACTCCATCGGATTAAAAAAAAAATCTTTCTTTGTTCATGTGACTTAGGAACTACAGTGTGTAACTCAGTCATGGTAACACACCTGTGTGGCACCTCAGGCTCATGAGAAACCAGTCGGAGCCTGGGTTGTTTTGGTTTTTTTTGCAGAAATGAACTTTGGTGTATTTTTAGGTGGAGCTGGTCCAGCTGGTGATCGATGGGGTCAACTACCTGGTTGAGTGTGAGAAGAAGCTGGAGAAGGGCCAGGATATCAAAATCCCACCTCCCGTTGCTCAGTTTAGAAAGTAAAACCGGACTGGTCACACCATCGTGTGCTAGTAGGTCAGCTCTCCACTCATGCGCTCTCCCAAACCAAGCCTAAGGAGGAGCCTCCGAACAGCGTCTGTCTGCTGCTGCAGAGGTGGTTGTCTCTTGATCCTTCCTACAAAGATTGTAAATCTTGCACATGAGCTGTAGTTGGGGGACTGTTCTACCTCAAGGTCAGGTCTTCACTGTAACCCCCATTTCAATAAAGCCCACAGTAGCGAATATTTCGACTGTATTTAACTGCATTTTCTTTGACATTTCAGTAACACTTCATAATACAGCCTATGATTTAGTGTCGTTTAGTAGAAAGGATCAGGGTTCAGTTAAATACTCAGTGTCATTTAGCAGAAAGGATCAGGGTTCAGTTAAATACTCATTGGTTCCTGCTGGTATTTAAATGTAGGGAGAGCAGGGGAATGTGAAAAGGAAAAGGGAGTAACAACTGGGCATTTTAAAGGAAACGAATGCTAACAGTCCTAAATATTTAGACAGTTACACATTTGGTTCTTCACCACATTCAGTTTGAAATAAGTTCAGGGACACTACATAAAGTCAGAGTCTTACAGCATCCACAGTTTAAAGTTGGTTCCTGATTTCATTGGTTCCTGCTGGTATTTAAATGTAGGGAGAGCAGGGGAATGTGAAAAGGAAAAGGGAGTAACAACTGGGCATTTTAAAGGAAACGGATACTAACAGTCCTAAATATTTAGACAGTTACACATTTGGTTCTTCACCACATTCAGTTTGAAATAAGTTCAGGGACACTACATAAAGTCTGATTTTTACAGTATCCACAGTTTAAAGTTGGTTCCTGATTCATACGGCACTGTCAAACTGAAACTCACAGGCTGCGTTACAGTCTTACTGCTCGCTTTTCTCTCACTTTCATTTATCTGTTATGTCAGCCCACTCCCTTTTCATAACAGGAACACTATTTAGTGATCTAGTCACATGTGTTTGACTGGTTTGCTAACCTTTTCTACTCCTGGTGCTTCACTATTTAGTGTCCTACATCTCTTAGGTGTTCAAGTAGACCGCGGACGGGGACTGATTTAACCACTCGCTGAACTTCACAGCCTGTGTAGAAGCTTTCATTTCTGCTTCTCCAGTTATTTGTTCAGGTTTTTCCTTTAACCCACCATAGAAAGTAGGTGTATCACCTGAAGATAAACACAGCCATACAGGTTTGATTAAGCTTCCATCAAAAACATTTATTCATTAATAAGCTGTGCTGCGCCTGCAGATGTATTACCACATACTGAGTGTTACAGTGTGGTCTGCTCTGAGCTAATGTATATGATGTATTGACAGGGACTGTTCTGTGACACAGGAGTCAGAGCTGTTTACTGTACACAACCACACTCTAGGTCAAACCTCTATTCTAACCAATCAGGGCTTTGCATACCTTATTAATACAAAAATGTTAACACCATAATTAGATGAACAAGTAAAATCAGTTGGAACAGCCTTGTATGTTTAACTTGTTTTAATGCCAAGGTTTAGTTCTCCATAAACTGAACAATCATTAACTGCATGTGCTTGAACTGCTTAGGAGAGGAAACTGAAGTGTCTCCAGAACCGTGTCTGACATCCAGTAGTTACATCATCACATAAAGACCCGCGTTCCCATGTAAAAATGAATATGTTGACTGGCCCTATGCACTTCCTGGCAGGCCAACAGAGGTGGAAGAACTGTAATTAAAGAAGGGATATTTGTCAAGATCTCAAAATACAGAAGAATGTTGCTGCATTTTTATAAATATCTTTGTTTACATGTGGATCAGTAACAATGTTCATATACTGCAACAGGTGATTTCACAGACTTCAGTGTATCCTCATGGAAAAGGAAACGAAAGCAAAATCAAGGCAGGGGATGAGAAAACGGAAAGCAAAGTTTAGACATCTGTACAGTCTCCATACACTAATGATTAATCAAAGAAAACATTCAACGTTGAAGCAGAACAGCACTTTTATTTCAGACATGTCACTTTCCAGGATGCCATCCCTGGCAATTCTCTATATTTTTGTAAAAAGAAATCGGTAGAAAGTGATTAACAAACCAAAAGGAGACACCTAGAGGCCAGAGCCTGCCTATTCACCAAAAAGTCCTGCTTTTTTTGGCAAAGTTAAACAGAAACACAAGCCTCTAAGGAGTGCTTGCAGAGTGCTAAAATAATGTGGGTACACGAGAACATGGCATCTCTTTAAAGACAACAGAGATGGGGCGGAAACAAAGGAGGAAAAACAGCGGTGAGGGTCAGTGTTTTCGTCAGTCCACAGGTCGCTTTTCGCTGTGTTTCTTTGTAAACTCCTCGGCGTTCTTCATGAACTTGGCGCGGTCTTTAGTGTATTCCTCTGCCAGGTCTGCCCTCAGCGGGTGCTCAGGCTGAGGTATGTTCACCAGAGCAATAAGACACTGAATCACTGGAGGAGAGATGACATAAGAGAAACGTGTTATGCACAGAAGTCACCGTTTTCATGAAGCTTTTCTTCTAATTACTGGAAAACCTCTTGTAATTGCGAGACCCGGATCTCTAGCAGTAACCTAGTTTAGCTGCAGTAAACAGATTAATGAACGTCTCGGTGTGAAGCCCAAAAACAGACGGATGTGACAGCAGGAGTGAAATGTGGGTATTCACACGAGCCTTCAGGCAGCGCCACACAGCCGTCCCTCTCACCTTGGCAGGTTCTCGTGGCCGGTTTCCAGTTCTCCACACTGATGATAGGCAGGCATACTTGGCCCTTCTCGTCGATGTTGGGGTGGTAGATTTTTGTCTTGAAGGTGATCTTAGGGGGCTTGAAGGGGTACTCGGCGGGGAAGACGATCTCAATCCGAAAGGCTCCTTTGTCATATGGAGGACAGTCCTTGGAGAAAATTGGTAGACAGCAAATAAGATGTTAATGTTCAGTGGTCCATCTGAAACCACTTTTTTCTTCCTCCCTTAACAGTCAAAATAATGGATCTTTTTAACTGTTAAAAGAAAGAAACCGACTTGGGGGCATATCAGAAATGGTCCTTCTGGTCTCAGCAGCGGGAGGGCATGTCCAGCTGCTGTGCTGCACTGACAGCAGCTGGAAGGCTCAGCTACAGCGGGGGGGCTGAGAGACGGAGTAAACTAACTCATGCCATGATTATGAGCAGACAGTGGGTTAGTGGTAGTGAGCAGCACCACACCTGGCCACAGTGCAGTTTGCATACTGTGGGTAATGTGTTGCAGCTGAGATGCTAATGACCTATTTATTATTAGCGGTGCACTTTGCCCCGGTGAATGTTCAGTGGCTCATTCAACAAGCTGAGGTGTGTCTGAGCTTGTACATTAGATAAGGAGGGGACTTGAGCAGGAAATGTGAGTGGTTGTTCAGAGTCTGTGTAGCAGCTTCTGTGTGGCTCAGTGCGACCGTCTGCTGTACACAAACCTTTGATTGGCTGTATCCACAAAAAGCTGCCCTCTACTGTACGTAGACAGTTAATGCAAAACCAAAAACACTAAATATACATTTCTATTCAGTGGCTTTTATCAGAGGAGAACAAGTGGTGTAAAAAGAACCTTTTAAAACTTATTTCATTTTAGCTGGGCCTTAGGTACATCTCCAAATGGTTTTAGCACAGGTCCAGTACTTACGGGAACAATGAGCCCTTGCCAGGTCAAAATATTTGACTCATCCACTTGGATGTTGCAGAAATGCTTCATCCCAGATTTGCGGATGTCATCGAGCTCCTGAAAGAAAACAAGTGATTTAAAATGGTATAAAATCAAGAGATTACTGGGACCCCACCAACTATACTGTCCATGGCCATTTTATTAGGTACACCTGTACAATCTAACAGTCCAATAAAACTGTTCTGCCATAAAGTCGACTTTATCAAGATTCAGAGGTGTTTAATGTTCTGCCACCTTCATGTAATTTACTAAGACCAAGACCAACAGCAAATGTTCGGTTAATCAACAACTAATTGCTGAAGCTCTTGGTGCAGTACTCGACATTTTACTGTGCTTTCATAAAACATGAGTTGATACAAACTTCTAAGGTGAAAGGGAGCTGGGAGTCACTCTGCTCTACTTCCTGTCTGCAGATGTTTACTCTCATTGAAATTAATCTGAACTGTAAAACTGGACTGTTGGGAGAATTCAGGAAGTGGTGACAACATGATGTCACATGGGGAATTCCTAACACAACTAACCAAAACCAAATCCTGGGGTGTCCCAGTGAAACAGTTAAGTATGAGACTGAGCCAGCAAACTGAAAGTCACCCAGTGTCCATGTGACTCGAGCTAATCAGAGCCACAGTCAGCTTTAATCGCCAAGTATGTTGAGCATATAAGGACTTTATCTCCAGCACACAGGCTCCCATTGTAAACATTATATACATAAGGATTCAATTATTATATTATATACATATGTACATTTGAGCTGTCAGACTGGTGCCTGTAGTGGGCTCTATACTCAATTCATTGTACTATGTTAAGTAGGCTTTTAACAAATGTAATCATTTATCCAGTGGTGGAATGTAACTAGCAGTGAGTGACAAAAGGTGAAACAGCCCGGTTTCTACAGTGATCCAAAGCAAACCTCAAATCCACTAGGAACTAGTTCAAGAAAGATGAGCGGAAGCTTTGGCAGCAACTCTTTCATTCCCCTGACCTGAAAATCATTGGAAATCTGTGGGGAAATGTGAAATGTGCTGTGCGCACATGACGGCGGTGATCTGCAGGAACAGAGGCTGAAAATGTGTCAGGCAGAAAGACTGAGCTGCTACAGAAACTGTTGGCAAGCTGTGATACTGGGGGGGGGTTACTATGGACTGACTTAGCCAAACTAATGCACATAGCACAGTTTGTATTCTTTAAGTTCAATGTAAGACTATAAATACACTGAAGATATTTTAATGTATGTTTGCATCGGGGGGGGGTTATTTATTTCTTTTCCACTTCAAAAAACAACAAAATATGTAAATTGCTCTACGGTAGACAAACAATCATTCAACTGCAGGTATTTTTCACTTCAAAATTTGTATGATTAGTCTGAAAAACAACTGCTGCAGCCTTGATGTTCAATTCGCAGCTATAATTTAAAACTGAAACCAAAACAAGCAGCAAATCCTCGGAGTGGAGAAGCTGAGCCCAGAGAGTATCTGGCTTGAAAAATGACTAAACCTGCTCATTGTTTATCTGCCTATCCACTGATCGATTACTCGACTAATGAAATAATTTTAGTCTGATGTCTGGCACAGCTGAGGTCTGACGTCATGTCCCAGCCCCAGAGTCTCCATGTTTTCGACCCAGCTACTGGCTTCAGACGGTGACAGCGCCCCAAACGAGCTGGTACACTTTCACCAACGTGTTGTTTAATAAGCCTCCTCATCAGATACTAACATTTTTGGACAACTTCGTGTCGTATCTGACAGTTTTCTGGAAGTGCTGAATCACGCTCCGACTCAAACTCACTGGTTACCTAACCGCCGTCTGTGGGACGTCTTTATCCTTTCATTCCGTCGGGCACATTCACGCCAAACACGCTTGATTTTCTCTTGATTAACCAGTTTGTGGCTACACACATTACGCTGAAACAAGTTGTTAAAAACCGTCTTAAAGTAGCTGAAATTCAATAATATTAGAAATTTTACCTTGCATAATCTCTTAGTCGAAGTCATTGTGGTACCGATCGTATCTTCTTCGCCTTCTTCCTGTTTCTTTTCGTTCCTCCTCGACTTCTTTTGAGTTTGTGTAAAAATGGCCGACAGCCGGCATCCTTTAGCATGGGCGCCATCTACCGGCCCGGAGCGCACATGTCAGACACAGGATAACGAGAGAAAGTGTTTATTTGCGCTAGTAGCGGAAGATACTTTACTGGATTAAAAGTAATAAAATATTTCTGTAAAAATGCAGGATTGCAAGTAAAAATCCTCACTTTGATGCATAAGTAGTATGAGCAAAGTGTATCAGTAGGCTACGTAAAGTATCAAAAGTAAAATACTGTAACTGCGTGATCTTATATTTAACATATATGACGCTAAAGTGCGGCCATTTCTCTCTCTGAGTGACACAGGGACTAGTGCACACTTCAAACCCAGAAGACCTGACTACTAAAAGCAGAGAACACAGGTGGTGCATGGTGGTGCTAAACTGTTGTTACACTGTACAGGACAGGTACAGGCACAAGCAGAGGGGGTGGTCAAAGCGCCCTTTTGAGTTAGAAAAACAAAATCTTCTTCTTCTTTCGCCTGTCCCCGTTAGGGGTCACCACAGCGAATCATCTGTTTCCACCTAACTCTATCCTCGGCATCCTCTACTCTCACCCCAGTTAACTTCATGTCCTCTTTTAGCACATCCATATATCTCCTCTTTGGCCTTCCTCTTGCCCTCTTGCCTGGCAGCTCCATCTCCAACATCCTTCTACCATTATAACCACTATCCCTCCTCTGCACATGTCCAAACCATCTCAATCTGGCCTCTCTGACCTTGTCCCCAAAACAGCTGACCTGAGCTGTCCCTCTGATGTGCTCATTCCTAATCCTGTCCATCCTGGTCCATCCTAAAGAGAACCTCAACATCCTCATCTCTGCTACCTCCATCTCTGCCTCTTGTCTTTTCCTCACTGCTACAGTCTCTAACCCATACAGCATAGCTGGTCTCACTACTGTCTTGTACACCTTTATATTGATTCTTGCTGACACTCTTCTGTCACACAACACTCCTGACACCTTTCTCCACCCACTCCAACCTGCCTGCACTCGCCTCTTCACCTCTTTCCTACACTCCCCATCACACTGGACTGTTGACCCCAAATACTTAAACTCCTGCACCTTCTTGACCTCAGCCCCCTGTAACCTCACTGTTCCACTCCCCTCCCTCTTGTTCATACACATATATTCTGTCTTACCACGACTGACTTTCATTCCTCTTCTTTCCAGAGCAGACCTCCACCTTTCCAGTTGTTCCTCCACCTGCTCTCTGCTCTCACTACACATTACAATGTCATCCGCAAACATCATTGTCCAGGGAGATTCCTGTCTGACCTCATCTGTCAACCTGTCCATCACCATAGCAAACAAGAAGGGACTCAGAAAACAGAAAAACAAAATATCCTATATAATTTGCTCAGCGGTGGGCAACCTTTAGCATACAACTGTTTTGACATTTCCTAGATATAATCAGTCAAAAATATACAATTATCAGCTATTTCATTTGTAATAAATATAATTGTTAGTTGCAGTCCTGATATTCAGGTTATAGTGATATAAAACAGTGAAAAATAAAGAAACCCTGAGATGTGAGAAGCAGAAATCAGAAAATATTTGAACTTTAATGTCTGTTTGCTTTTTTTCACTTCAAAAACCAACAGAACATAAAACAGCCAGTTCCTAATATTTTACATACAGCGGTAGCTGGAAAGCTAAGTGATCAGAAACATTTAAAGAAAAATAAGTGGGCTCATCGACTATAATGTTTGAAAGAATAAAGACTGCCTCGCCGCCACCTCTGTTAACTATAATCCAGAATGAACACAGATTCTGTAACTATTACGTGGCATGTGTTCCCAAAACAGATCCCGTGACCTCCTAGACAGGCTATTCAAGATGGCCGCCTGACTGGAGAATTTCCTAGTAAAACTAATCCAACAGCTGGTTTCCCAAACTACTTCAACTGTCTTGTTTCAGAATGAGACGCGAAGTTTGTTCCTATTTTAAAACAGAAGTTGTGCGTAATTGAGGACGGCGTCGCAATTATGGAATAAAAACTGCTGGTAAGGAATTTATAAACAAACCAGGTTAGTCCACAGGAGGCTAGCCACATTAGCCAACTAATAGGCTAACTATTGCTAGATAACCATGGGACTTAAAGGTGGCAAACAACTGGCTGTTTATTGACGTTTGACGTTTAAGAGTCACGAACTATTATCTACAGACAGCCCTGCAATAAACACTGATGTTTCTTAGTTGCTAATGTTGCATGCTAACGTTTCCACGCGTGTGTGTTTGTTTGCTAGCTTAACGTTACCTTTGTAAAGGCTTCATACGGCACTGAGTGCACAATATTTCAGAATCAGAATCAGCTTTATTGGCCAGGTGTGTCGGACACACGAGGAATTTGACTCTGGTACATCGGCTCTCAATGTGTATGTACATATCCCCATGAAAGGGGCAAGTAAACAGTAAACCAGCATAAGACTGTGTAGTTAACAAAATGAGGAGTTTCACCTTCATTGTGAAAATGTCACCTGAGCTATCTTTTTGTGGTATGACGATTCTTCTGAAGTGTGGACATTAAGCCAAACGCTCTTTAAAGGACAAGAAGCAGAAATAATATAAGCACAATTTTGCATTGATGCTGTTACAGTGATTTCTGTGATCTGTCAGATTCTGTGATCTGCTTACACGGTAACATGTGGCAGGGGGCTAAGGGTATGTAGAATGGTGTGAGGGATGAATGTTAACCCAAATGCTGTTTAAGTTATAGGAAGATGGAAAAACAGTAAGTTGTATTAATAATCTTTAGCTATAGATGTTACGACCAGTTCTGTGACCCCTCAGATTGTATTACCTACGGCTGCAAACGTCTATACCAGCTGACACTGGATGTTGATAGGTGGTGTTTAACACAGTGGCCTGATGTGTAACATAAGTTTCCGTAGTTGACCCAGTAGCTTCATTGCTTAGAAATTCACTCCTACACGTCACCTGACCTGAATGATCTTTCAATAGTTTTAGCATATAATGTGTCATTTTTTTCAGTTGTTATTAATCCGCACCCTTAGAGATAGGGTGAGGAGCTTGGTCACCCGGGAGGAGCTCAGAGTAGAACCGCTGCTCCTCCATGTCGAGAGGAGCCAGCTGAGGTGGCTCGGGCATCTGTTTCGGATGCCTCCTGGGCACCTTCCTAGGGAGGTGTTCTGGGCATGTCCCACCGGGAGGAGGCCCCGGGGAAGACCCAGGACACGCTGGAGGGACTATG